ATCCGCCTCCTCTTCCGTCTCCTCGTCCCCCGCCTCCCACCTCCCTCCGCCCTTCTCCCTCCTCCCTCCTGCCTCCTCCCTCCTCCCCCATCCTCGTCCCTCCCTCCATCCCTCCCTCCCTCCCTCGCTCCCTCCTCCTCCTCCTCCTCCTCCTCCTCCTCCTATTCATACTCCTACTCATCCTCCTCCTCCGCCTCCTCCTCCTCTTCCTCCTTCCCTTCCTCCTCGGCATCATTCTCATTCTCCGTCTCCTCCTAATCATGATCGCCATCCTCATCCTCCTCCTCAACCTCCTCCTCCTCTTCCTTCTCCTCCTCCTCCTCATCGTCCTCCTCCTCATCATCCTCCTCCTCGTCCTCGTCCTCGTCCTCGTCCTCTTCCTCCTCCTGCTCCTCCTCCTGCTCCTCCTCCTCCTCGTCCCCGTCCTCGTCCTCGTCCTCGTTCTCCTCCTCCTCCTCCTCGTCCTCGTCCTCCTCCTCATCCTCCTTCCAGCAGGAACAGACTCATCAGCATCATCATCATCAGCATCATCATCATCATCATCATCAGCATCATCAGCATCATCATCAGCATCATCATCATCACCACCATCATCATCATCATCATCGTCATCATCAGCAGCATCAGCATCGGCATCAGCATCAGCATCAGCATCAGCATCATCATCAGCATCATCATCATCAGCAGCATCATCAGCATCACCATCATCAGCAGCGTCATCATCAGCATCATCGGCATCATGAACGTCATCAGCAGCATCAGCACCACCAGCATAACCATCAGCATCAGCATCATCACCACCATCATCAACATCATCATCGGCCGCATCATCAGTTGCATCATCCTCAGCATCATCAGCAGCGTCATCATCGTCACAATCAGCATCATCATCAGCAGCAGTCTAATCAGCATCTTTAGCATCATCGTCACCAGCATCATCATCAGCAGCAGCAGCCGCATCATCATATTCGTCATCAGCATCACCACCGCCATCATCATGATCATCATCATCATCATCATCATCATCAGCATCATCATCATCGTCATCATCATTAGCAGCAGCAGCAACATCAACATCAGCATCAGCATCAGCATCAGCATCAGTACCATCAGAATCAGCATCATCAGCCTCATAATCAGCATCACCAGCATCAGCGTCAGCATGAGCAGCAGCATTATCGTCACCAGCATCAGCAGCATCGTCGTCAGAAGCATCATATGCATCATAACCACCAGCATCAGCAGTGACATCATCATCAGCATTAGCATCAGCATCATCATCATCACCATCAGCATCATCATAAGTATCATCATAAGTATCATCATGAGAAGCATCACCATCATCATCATCAGCATCATCAGCACCATCATCACCATCAAGAATCAGCATCATCAGTATCATCGTCATCATCAGCAGCGTCATCAGCAGCATCAGCGTTATTATCTGCACCATCAGCAGCAACAGCAACAGCAACAGCCACAGCCACATCGTCATAATGATCATCATCATCAGCAACATCAGCATCAAAATCATCAGCATCATCGTCAGCATATCATCATCATCAACAACACCGTCATCATCATCAACACCAGAATCATCGTCATCATAATCAGCATCATCAGCATCATCAGCAGTAGCATCAACATCATCATCAGCAGCATCGTCGGCATCAGCACCAGCATCAGCATCATCATGATAATCAGCATCATCATCAGCATCATCAGCATCACCATAATAATCATAATGATGATAATCGTCATCATCACCACCATATCATCATCATCCATATTATCCATATCATCATCAGCAGAATCAGCATCAGCATCAGCATCAGCATGAGGATTATCATTTTCAGCAACAGAACTCATCAGCATCAGCATCAGCATCATCATGATAATCAGCATCATCATAAGATCAGCAGCATCATCAGCATCATCAGCATCACCATCATCATCAGAATGATGATAATCATCATCATCACCACCAGCATCGTCCTCATCATCATCATCAGTATCGGCATCAACATCAACATCAGCACCATCAGCAACATCAGCAACAGCAGCAGCATCAGCATCCGCATCATCAGCAGCATCATGAGCATCATCATCATCATCGTCGTCATCATCAGCATCACCATCATCATCATCATCAACAGCAGCAGCATCAGCATCATCATCATCGTCGTCATCATCATCTCCACCACCGCCACCATCATCATCATCATCATCATCATCATCATCATCATAATCATCATCAGCATCAGCATCATCAGCATCAGCATCAGCATCAGCATCATCATCATCAGCAGCAGCAGAAGTATCATCATCATCATCATCATCATCATCATCATCATCATCTGCTTATTACTTTTATTATTATCATCCCTCCTCTTCATCCTCATCCTCCTTCTCTTCCTCCTCCTCCTCCTCGCCCTCGTCCTCCTCCTACTCCTCCTCCTCCTCCTCCTCTTACTGCTTCTCCTCCTCCTCCTCCTCCACCTTCACCCCCTCCTCCCTCCTCATGCGTTAGGTGGCTCTGAGATGTGGCAATTTCAATCGGGCAGGCCCATTTCTCTCAGCCCCCAGCCGTCCGCCCGGCTCGGGCTGCGGTGTCTCTCCCAATACCGCCCTACGCTGCGGATCCAGTCCCCCGCCAGACATAGGCGCCCGCAAGGCTTGTGCAGCGGCTGCAAGTTTCTGGGCATCAACGAGAGGCTGCCGATCGTCTGCGACCACAGCGGCCCCTCGGGCGTGGGCTGCTTCGAGGACTACCCAGCACCGCTCTAAGGCGCCAGGCAGCAGCACGGAGTTGCCGATCGCCTATGGCGTCAGCTTCACCGCAGGCTTGGGCTACCTCAAGGACTACCCAGGCTGGCACGGAGGGGGGAGGCATTGGCGGGCAGCTCAGGGCGCAGATCCACGGCTCGCCGCAGGTGCGCAGTTACGGCGGGCGGGCGGGAGTGGGCTACCCGGGCGCAGTGTTGAGGGGCAACGATAGGGGGGACTGGCACAGGCGGGAAGCACCGACCTGGAATCGGCGATCCGTTGCCGATCAATCGGCGATAGGCTCCCGATAGCGAATCCGAACCTTCCTGGGCGGGGGTGGACTGTCAGGCCCCTAGTCGGCGATGAACGGGTCGCCGAACTCTGCGCTTTGCACTGCGCGGAGTGCGAAGCGCGCGCATCTATCCAGCCCAGGCCGCGAAGCGCGAAGCGCGAAGCACGCAGCGCGAAGCGCGGTCGTCTTCGCGCACCGGCGGAGACTGGGCGCGGTGTTGTCGGACCGGGCAGGGTCAGCCAGCATCGAATCGGGAACTCGGACCAGATCGGAATGCGCGCCAGATCGGGCTGCATCGGCACGGAGTCGAAACCGGATCGGATCGGCCGCGCCTGGGCTGCACAGCAACGCCATGCGCACCTCGGGCGGCATCGGATGCTCCAAAATCGGAGATCGGATCGAGTCGGCCGGAGCCGATATCAAAGCGGATCGATCCGATCGAAGCTCACCCAGGGAGGGCCGCCTGGCAGCCGTCACAGAACGGCCGCGGCTGCAGGGAAAAGGAAAGCCAGACACCCGACGACGCGGTCTTCTCGCGGCGTGCCCCGCCAGACGCTTGGACCCCTTCCCGAGGACCGGCTTCTCGTCCCGAGCCGCTCTCTGACGGCCCCGGGGCCCCCTCCCGGGACCCTCCGAAAGCCGAGAATTGCCGAGGAGACGAGGAGGAGGAGGAGGGAGGAGGAGGAGGAGGGAGGAGGAGGAGGAGGAGGAGGAGGGAGGAGGAGGAGGAGGAGGAGGAGCAGGAGCAGGAGCAGGAGCAGGAGCAGGAGCAGGAGCAGGAGCAGGAGGAGGAGACAGAGGAGAAGGAGGAGGAGGAGGAGGATCCTTCCGCCCGAAGTCTGGTCACGACGCCAGGCTGTCAAAGATCCTCGGCTCTTGCGCCGTGACTCTCGGGCCTCAGACGGCCGTGCGGGGGCGGTCCTGCCAGCCCCCGAGAGGCGCCTCTCCGAGGGGCGCCACTGCTGGAGAGCACCACGAAGCTGAACACCGCCGAGAACCAAAACGAAAGCGCCCGACAACCTCGAACGGCGAAACGCCCAACCCCGTCCCGGAAAGAACACGTGGCGTACCCAGCTCACGTCCATCGAGCGAACAGCGCATTTGGGTTGCCTCGTGTCTAGATGGCGACAGCGCAAGGACCGCCGCCAGTGGCGCAAGCTACATGGGACGTGCGCGCGTTGCACGACTGGCAGGACAGGAAGAGAAAGACGAGGAGCGAGGCCAGGGGCTCGGACAGGAAGGGGGCGGGAAGGAGGCGCAGGAGAACTGAAGCAAAGGGCGCCTAAAAGTCCACGCGGCGGCAGCAGGAAGACGGTAAAGGAGGACGAGGGCTACAACGAGGGAGGACGGATGAGAAAGGAGGGTGGCGATTTTCTCATGTAGCTCGCTGATGAGCAGCGATGCCGCGCCCTGAATCACGAGCTGTGCATAGCTAGTGCGGGAAGCGAGCGAGGCCCAGCTCGCCCGCCCCCAAGGGATGGCGAGGTCTAATCTGGGTCCGCGGCGGGGCGTCCATCTACTGGACCCCCCAGCAGCCCTCGAAAGTGACGACAACATCGCATCTCGCAGCCGCCCGCGGATGGCGATGTCTAATCTGAATATGTGTTAAGACGTCACTCCGCTGACCCCACCAGCAGCCCACGAAAGTGGCGACAGATTCGCACTTCGCAGCCCCCCAGGGATGGCGACGTCTAATCCTAATATGTGGTAAGATGTCACTCCGCCGGACCGGACCCCCCACCAACCCTCGAAAGCGACGACAGTTTCGCATTTCAAAGCCCCCCGGGCATGGCGCGGTCACGTAGGGCAGGACGGAGAGGCAGGACCACGAGGCAGAAGGCAGGCTGGCAGGCAGGTACGAGCCAGGCGAAAGACAGGAGAGAGGAGGAGGGGGAGGAGGAAAGAGAGGAGGCGGAAAGGAGGCAGGTGGCGACCCCAGTGC